ATTAAAATAAAAGAAATAAATAAAACAATAACGTGTGTGTGTGTGTGTGTGTATGTTAAAAAATAAAAATATATTAAAAATAAAATAAAATAAATGAAACAGTAACGTGTGTGTGTGGGTATATTAATAGACAAAAAATTTAAAAAATAATTAATTGATTAAAACATAATAATACATTTAAAAAAAGAAATCAGTATAAAATGTAAAAACAAAACAATTATTAAAATATCAAACGATCAAAATAATAATAATTTGAAAATCTGTACAATTATTTATCTCTCCCCCTCTCTCAACGCTGTCCATTGTTCTGAAACAATAGCTAAGCAATAGTTGCGTATATAACCTCTGGGAGGGCACAGCGGAATGATCATGACTTCACTCAGTTTGCTCAAATATTGGTAGGGATAATTATGTCCTCCCAAAATATTAGTAGGGACATGTCCCTACCGTCTATATGCAAACCTACACCCTTGATTTACACATATATGGTTAGAACTTAAGTTTTGAGCTCCATCTACAAGTCCAAATGAGTTGGTTCTGTAGTGGATGTCCAAACAACGTATTTTGACATTTAATTTGGAGGACTTGTAAGTGCATGCCTGTGCTTTCCCTTGTGCTGGAGCAATGCCACATCAGGACACAGGTACAGTAACAAATATGAGAAAGAAACTAAGCCAGCCAGTAAGATTCATAATCAAATTTTAAGTCATTAGGGTAAATTAAACACTGTGTCATTATTTAACTTGTCAAAATCAACATGTGACCAATGACTTATGAAGCTTTATCTTTAGTGATTTTCTCAGTGTGAAAGAGGTGCTGACAGCTGATGCCTCTATTTTGGCCACTGCTGCTGGACAGCTATAACACAGGGGTGATTACACATGTCCTGACCAATCGAAGGCCATCACAGTTTGACTTGTGTGACAGCGCGACACTCAACATCACCTGCTCTTACTGGGACAACGACAACCGGAGCAAAGAATCCCTCACTCCCACACATCGTGGTGAAATTGATCACTGCAATCAATATCAACCAGTGAAGCCATTGGCTACGGCCTGCAAAGGAGGAGGCATCAGGAGTGCTTTGCCTTGTCTGTGATCTATCTATCTTTAGGCAGGAGCTAGGCACGGGATCAATATGCTACAGGCAGCTCATATTTCACCGGTGGCCCAGAAGGGATGAGATGAGGAGAAAGGGGAAGGGGAAGATGGGATGATGACATGGCTCTGCAAGGGCTCTCGGGGGTCAATCCAGAGAGCGGTTAGCGTGCAGCAGAAACAGGTGATATGGATGCAACCAAAGGTGAGAAAAGGAGAGAGAAGTTTTTGGGTGTGACGTAGGAGTCAATAGTGCAGCAGAGGCTTATGCGCTACATGGACGGCAGCACAGCTTGACAGCTTGTCGATTCAGTGAATTTATAATGAATGTTCTTTTTATTCTCCTCTTTCTCTCTAACCTTTCTCTTCTCCTCTACTCCCTTTATCTCACCTCCCTCCTTCTTCTCCTCCTGTCACCTCCCTCCTCTCTTTTGTTTGGAGCATCACTCCGACCCTCCCGCTCTCCCTCCCTGCCACAGACCCATGTAGCCTATCACCCCGAGAGTTAAAACAAAGAGTTATATGAAAGGCGCTTAGTCGCATTTCCTCCTACCCCTGCTGTTGCGGTGTCCTAATGATGCAAATGTTAGGCCGGCTAATGAGTAGGAGTTGTGTTTCGGCTGAAGTTTACCGCGCTGCTCGGCCACCCTGTCTCATGAATAATATCACCGTGTCAGAGTCAAGATGTGTGTTCCTCTCAGCTCACAGATAATGACCATTACAGATGGTGCTTTCTCCAATTACATACAAGAGGGGAAAAAGACAATTGTTGATCCATAACGTCCAAAGGAGCAACTGGGCCTTTTAAAAAGAAGGTAATGAAAATTCATTTAAAGAATTCAAATGTAAGCAACCTGCCCTGTCTGAAATTACACACACACACACACACACACACACACACACACACACACACACAAAGTAGAAAAAGTGTCTAAAAACTTCTGGCAGAACACTCTCACCTGTGCGAGTCACATAACCTTTTGACTCCGAGTTCATTCTGGCTGTCACCTAACGCACACGCCTCCAAAAGACAGCGAAACCAATAGATATTGGCTCTATGTTATTACAATAAGCTTTATGGCTGCTTGCATTTCTCTCCCTCCCCACCTCATGGCTTAATCCTCCGTGCTTTTGCCCTTCAGTTTTTCAAAGACAGCCTGCGGGCTAGAATTGCCCTTTGCTGACTTGTGGCTGACAGTGAATAAGTTCCCCTCTCGTCTCCTCCCTTTTATCTCTGAGATCATACTCTGAGTGGGTCAAGATCAATGGTGCTCCCTGCAAATCTGCCCAGACTCTGGGTGCTTCTCATTGACCTTACACAGGGGTAACTGAACACTCCGACTCTCATCCAGCCAGCTTTTACAATAACTTCTATGGATAAATTCACCTAGCCCTTGCAGGGCTTTCATCAAAAAGTCATGGACCACGTTGGTGCAGCCCAGTTAAGGTCTTCTTGGCCTCAAACTGTAAGCTGCACTGCTGGCTGAAGTCCTTCAGAAACACATTAGCAGCTTGTAAGTGTTAAAAGGTAAGATTTCCATCACCGCTGAGGAAAGTTTAGAGGCAAAGAGTCTGCCAGCCTACTTTCTTAGTGCATAAGCTCCAAAGAAATCTAATCTACACGTATTGAAAAACTGATCCCAGGTTGTCCAGTCTTGTTAAGAGATGTCTATGATTTGTGTCATTTTTATTGCCACCTTAAGGTTTGCTTGCTAACAGCCCATTGAGACTTACAGGAATACAGCATTTGGAGCACAAATGACAAAAATCCCTACAACCAAGGACGTGCTGTGACAGGGTGATAAATGGCTTTACATGATGGAAGAGACAGGACTCTGGACACTGCAAACTTCTCGACAACAACTGAAAGAGAAAAAAAAATCAATTTCAGGTATGGCGTAGAATTAATGAGCTGTATTGCCTGAACTGAGGGACAAAGTCTTCTTTAGGCTATAATGTAAAAGCACCAGCAGTGCCATAATAAATAACCATTGCATATGTTCAGGGCATAGACTGTCAATAAAAAGGGCAGTAAAACATGATGAAATAACATGCCTAAAATTACCCAGAGCAGCAAAGAAATCCTTACACTACTGCAATAATTCGTACTCTGATGTCTAGCTTATGAAGTGCTGCATCAAAACAATAAAGTGTGTGAGAAGCAGAGTGCACGTTATGCTACTGCCGTCCTCGAGCCTAATACAGATCGAGACAGCAGAGACAGCAGCCAGATCCAGATCCAGCTGGAGCTCACATTCAATGGGATCCCTGTGAGACCCGCTTCAACAAGATGGATGACGGGCACCGAGCTTCATACTGCGCGCACTCAGCCCAGACATCATTGGGTCCGGGCTGAATAAAGAGGTGGTGGCCCCTCGCCTGCTCTTCCCTAATAGGAGGCGCTGCCTGGCTGACAGCAGCCCATAAATAACCTAGTCGGCGTGTGACTGGAAAAGAACACACTCACCTGAGCACGCACACTCAACAGGATCACGAGGGAGAGGTGAGATGCAATTATTTAAGGGCCTCCAGTTATGGGATGGCAACACACGTGTGTGTGTGAAGGTAGGTCACAGAAGCACATTGTTTTTACTTTTTTACAGCGGGACATTACATGGCTCAGTAATGTCATATTTGTGGGCAAATTAAAATGTCAATCTTAATATATGCCAGATTTGTACACCAAACCCGGCTTAATTCACGTGGACAATACTGTAATGTTTTTCAACCCATCAAAACTTGTCCTCAGCTGGTTTCCCCCCTAAACCTAATTATTTTCTCCTTTTCTGGCTTTGTCAGAGGTGGAAACCAGAACTGAAAACATTCTTGGAGTTTAAGTCCAAGCCTGTCACTTTCTGCCATTTCATCAGTGAAACAGGACTCGTAAGAAGCCCTCTTTAGATGAGTCCTGTGAATCTGATGAGTGGATTTTCTAGGCGATGCATTTGGGGGTGAAGCAGGGAGCAAGTCTTACTTCCCTCCAATATTCAGTCTGTCACAGTGTTGTAGTCTAAACCACCCAAACCGAGAACAAGTCATGACCAAGACCAGTGAGTATAGAGACACCGAGTCAAGACCAGGACCAGTGCCCCACACTACATGACACACGATAAAAAGTGGAACATGATCATAGGCACTTCTCAAATTCATTTGAAAGATCCACAGTCCCATAAAAAACACCCACATACGAACACTAAAATCTGAAATCAACTTAATCATCTTCAACTCTCCTTTTCTATGTTATACCATCCATTTAAAATAATTTATAAAAAGCAAGCATTAGGTTTTCTGGGTGACTATGGTCTTCCATATTTTATCCTTCATATTTGATCTGCAACTCTGTATTCAGTCTCAAAATATGTACCACATAAATCAGACAATGCACAGACAATCTTGACTGGTCCTCTATGTTTGAGACCGTGACAATACCGAGTAGAAATGTGGTCAATTCCCGAGACGAGACAGAGACCTAGAAAAAGTCTGTTTCTGCTATATTTAAACTGCATTGCTTGTTTTCTTATTGTGCAAGTAAACCTTTCTCACTGCATTTATACTTGTTAACTAACATTTCTTGTAGCAAGCTATTATTCAGAACATTTTTACAAATGCTTTCAGAAAGTGATGGAGACAAAATCAGCCATTTCAAAATGTGGTGGGGACATGGCCCCACTGTAAATGACACCTATGTGTAGGCTACAATAAAGTTCTTGTGGATTAATATGTCTTTAACGCACATCTATGACCAATGCACAATGAGCTCTGATCTTTTAAATTATTTCTTTGTTCTATGTTTTTATACCTGACGTTTCGGTGTGCCGTAAAGCATTCACACAAAATACCTTCAGTGACAGATATACTCGCGTTCGACATCACGTGAGCGCATGGGTCATGACGTCACGCGGAAGTAATTCAACCAAGATGGCAGCGTCCTTGAAAGGCATGTTTTGATTACAGTTGAGTGTCAAACACGCTGAACAGATGCAAATTTACGGGCTGCAGGACTTTCAGGAGAAGATTTTGAGAGCGGAGCATGGAGAGACGAGAGTTCGTCGCGTCCCTGGTGGTAAGGCGTCAGTTTTGTACAATAACGTTATGTCGTGTTAATATTGCTGTCAACGAACCTCTTTTTCAACCATATTTAATCCCGAATTCAGTTTAGTTCGTTGCAGTTGAAAACCAATTTACCACAACAGCTTAAGCCGTGAATATATTTTGCTCGAAAAAGCCAGAAACAAGGCTAAACTACGAGGACCTGTGTAACTTACAGCAGTCACTGGTTAGTCATTTTAAACCGCTTAAAATAGTGTGAGAGTAGGCTATGGGAGGTAGCCGGGTTATTGTAAGCACTATCACAGATAAAGCCAATCAGAATGTGTTAACATTTAACATTAATTGCCACATACCGGCTAATGCACATTTATTGAGGCATTGTGCAGTGACAAATACAAGTAGGCTACATAGTAAGTAGCCTACACATTCATCAACAAGCACTGTACTTGAGTACGGTAACGTTATATTTTTGAGGGTCTCTGTTACTGTATGACCCTCTGTCATTATTGCTTTCAACTTTTATTTCACTGCATTTCAGAAGGAAATATTGTTATTTTTACGCCACCTTTTTATTCCTCAACATTTAGGCATTTGAAAGGTTGATTTAATTTACATTTATTTGCATTGCTACTTTACCTAACAACAATGTTTTTAAATACAAAACTTGTGATCAGTTTATAAAGTATGATGCATTATTATAGATTTACACTACCCACTAGAATATATAGAAGGTAAAATTAGCTCCACCTTGACCAGCTGCAACATTAAAATGGTACTCACACATTAATGTATCAGTAATAGTACAGGAGCATATTTAAAAAAATAAAAATAAAAAATTTAATTCAAGCCTTTTTTGTTTTAATCTTGATGATTACGTCCTGTGGAAAATCAAAACTCCAGTATCTCAAATAATTTTAGAAGTGTATAATAAAGAATTTATAACACAGAAATGTCGACCCAAGAAGAGCTCTAATCAGCTAATTAACTTTTAACACGTGCAATGGTTTCCTGAGCCTTTAATCTCTCAGTCTGGTTCAGTGCGGTTTCTCACAATATTCAACTTTTTGAGATTCACAAGTAATTCAATGAGATAACACAATGAAAGATTGATTCTTGAACACATTTTAATGAAAACACTTTTCATTGTGGTACTTCTACTGCTAAGCCCCTTATTGTTTTGGTTGTATGGCCTGCATAGATACTGTTTTTGGTTCACCCTTACCACTCTCATCAGTGTCGCTTACAGCAGCAGCAGATAGCTGTTTTCAGTGATAAAGCTCTGAAGAACTCACTGTACACCAGCACCAAACAGCAGACACACAAAAGGTTAGCAATTAGCTGGTGAACATGGCCCCACCATTTAGCAGCTAAAGAGACAGATACTTCCATCAGGAGCTGGTGTTGTAGACCAAAACAGAGCTAAAAGGCAAGTGAGTATTGAACTTACATACGTCAGGTGGCGGAAAACATGCCTCCAAATAATTCCTAATGTTGCCCTGCTGTGTCTGCTGCAGGGTTCCTATGCAGTACAAAAAAAGTGTGGAATTTAATTTGAGTCATTTATAGGTTTGGATAAGTATGGAAAAAGTATTTGTGTTTACAGACTATTGCCCTTATTCTGTTTTGTAAAATACAAATTCAGAATTTCTAAAAATAAATTGATTATGCAAGCAGAGTGTTTTTTGTGGCGTTTGAAGCAGCCAAAATATTTACTGTATGTGGACCGATCATGCTTACTGTCGTGGGTAGTCATGACTGAATGGTCCATTTTGAGCCTAGAGATAGCATCACAAATAACCAAATATTAAACTTGTCTGAAGGTTAATGAGTTATGCATTGATGTAGTCATCAGAAAAGTAAAGAGACTATCTTTTCTGTGTAAGGAAAACAATATGGTAAATTAAAATAATAAATGTAGCTCCAGTTAGTTTACTTCCTCTAAGGACAGTGATGTTTGACAGTGGTTTGGTGTTAACTGATTTGTATGAGCTACTGAACCTAGCTACAATCTTCTGGCAGTTATTTGGCAACATAAAAACATACTGTACATGGCCAGAGTATACACAGTTGGATCTGTAAAACTATTTTTTGAAATGGAAAAATAGGTGTGTGCTGCTGGATGTTTAAAATAGGCAACTCCTAACATGTTTGCCATCTTTATAAGACAATAAAACGCCATAACATTATGACCACTGACAGGTGAAGTGAATAACACTGATTATCTCATTACCATGGCTCCAAGTGAACATTTTATCCTCATTGTTGATTTGTCAATCACGATGCCGGTTCAACGTTGTGATGTCTGCCAGCCAGCGCTGATATTGGCCCAAACGGACGTACCACCTACACATGCAGACTTTCTCCCTTTGGGGTGACTATGGCTCAGGGCGTAAAGCTGTTGTCTGCTAATCAGAAGGTCTGGCTCCCCCAGTCTGCATGTAGAAGCATCCTTGGGCAAGATACTGAACCCCAAATTGCTCCCAGTGTATGAATGTGTTAGTTTCCGTTTTTGTATGAATGGGGTGAATTGAAAGCAAAAGGGAATGGTTTGAGGAACATAACGAGTTCAAGGTGTTGACTTGGTGTCCTAAGTCAACACCTTGAACATTAATTCGCCAGATCTCAATGCAATCAAACATCTTTGTGATGTGCTGTACTAAGATCCATGGAGGCCCGACTTCGAAAGTTACAGGACTTAAAAGATCTGCTGCTAACGTCTTGACCACAGCACCCCTTCAGAGGTCTAGTAGAGTCCATGCCTCGATGGGTCAGGGCTGTTTTGTAGCAAAAGGGGGACCTACACAATATTAGGCAGGTGACCATAATGTAATGCTGATGTCAGTTGTGTGTTTACAGCTTGTTCCGTTGCTCCAAAGTTGCCCAAAAATCAACAAATGCAGGTTTGCAAGTAAAAGATCTGAATGGGTCTTCCACCACTGTTGTTGTAGAGTATGCGGTGTGGTATCATGTCTCACAAAGTGATTGTCTCTTCAGGCAGGAGGCTGCGCGGGGATGTGTGTCGATCTGACCCTCTTCCCCCTGGACACCATTAAGACAAGACTGCAGAGTCAGCAGGGCTTCTACAAGGCAGGGGGCTTTAGGGGCATCTACGCTGGAGTCCCATCTGCTGCTGTCGGCTCCTTCCCTAATGGTAAGATGCTCATTGTGATAGCTGGATATACAGTGGGGAGAACAAGTATTTGATACACTGCTGATTTTGCAGGTTTTCGTACTTAGAAAGCATGAAGAGGTCTGTAATTTTTATCATAGGTACACTTCAACTGTGAGAGACTGAATCTAAAACAAATCCAGAAAATCACATTGTATGATTTTTAAATAATTAATTTGCATTTCATTGCATGACATAAGTATTTGATACATCAGAAAAGCAGAACTTAATATTTGGTACAATACTTGTTCTTCCCACTATATGTTCTGATGAAGGGTTGTTATTGACGTTCTCAAACAACAGAACAACCAAGATTCTTCTTTGCCATTCCGAGACCTAACCTTGCACCGTGTTGATCGAAAAATCCACAAAGCAACTGTTTGAGTTGGGGGTTTAGACCTTCCTTTAGTGATCACACATTCATTTATTTTGTTTCCTTGTCATGCCTGAAGTCACAGCACAGCCATTATGAGTTAGAGGGCAACTTTGTGGGCTGAGGGTTGCATGGATCAGTTTAGTAGTTCACAATCAGATTAGTTTTATTTCTATGCTTTGTATTATAGTATCAGGCAGGCACTCAGCTTGCACCCTCATTAAATCAAGCGGGGGCAAAGTTCTGTTCTTTATTTGTTTCTTGGTGAGATCAGACTCTTGTTTCAGGCTTTTGAGGAAATTGTACTGGAATAACGAGGACCTGAAGTTTATTTTTTTGAGGACATAATTTTAACACGTCAGATTAACACGATGGAACCTTAAAATGACTGACGCTCTGAGGCTTATCTTTAAATGGCTTAAATGTGGCTGCCTAGCAAAGATTGCTTTGTGACTAGACTGCTCTAAACAAACATCTTTTCAACAGGGTTAGGGTTCAGTAGTTTATTGCTGCCTGTATTCTAGTGTTTTCCACAGGCAGGTCATGTATTTGTCAGGTCAGCCTTTTGGTATGGAGGACCGATTCTGACAGATTGAAAAATAAATACAGAAGTAAATAAATGCTCAATAAATAAATAAGCATCACATTTATTTATGTGTTTGTTTTAATATTTTTGTCTGTGTTATTCTTTCTTTGCATTTCTAACCTATTTATTTCCACAATGTTTACATATTTACATATATCACTGCGGTGTTTAGCAACTCTATTTGACGACAATACTGCCAGCCATGTCTTCCTTCTTTTTTGTGTGGACACTCTGACCTAGAGAGTTCATTTAGCAACTTACACGGACTCAGAACTGCGAGAAAATTTATTTTTCATTAATTTTCATACTGTATTTTTGTGCATTTAATCAGATGTTTATTTATTTATTGAGCATTTATGTATTTATTTTTAAATCTGTCAGAATCGGTCCTCGATACTTTGGTGGGTGTGGAGATCATGTGCAGGTTGGAAACTTCAGCATATCCAGCGGTTGAGTGTCACTTTCAACACAGCATCCATATCTGTCATTTCCAAGTAGAACTTTGAATGTAGGAAGTTCTAAATACAAAAATATTTGAAAGAATCATTTTAGGTTGAGGCTGCTTTTGTTGGTTACTATAGGGTGCAAATAGAAGAATTGGTATTTGAGAAACAGTAGACCATTTCATGAGCATATCAGAGAGAGGCTGATAAAGATGAGGTGTTGGTGTTGGAGTTGTATTTTGTTGCTTTGAATATAATCTTTAACAGTTTGTTGTAGTTTTCTAATCTGAACACTTTTGCAGGATAAATTTATGTGACCAGTCGGCGTAAGAAAGAACTGAACTCTATTCGCATGAGACACACTTAACTTTCTTAGTTTTTAACTCTGTTGTGCACACCAACAGCCACACATATGCACTCACACCTCAGTTTCTCCCCTGTCAGTGGTAGTGAGGGATATTAATTGCTGTATGCTGGTTGACTAATGGGCCTTAAATGGCTGTGGTTCTGCTTGGTTTCAGCCGCTGCTTTCTTCGTCACCTACGACTTCACAAAGTCCCTGCTTGGCGCTGGCAGAGTACTAGCAGCACCACACGTGGCACCTGTCACTCACATGCTGGCCGCCTCGCTGGGAGAAATAGTAAGTCTTCTTGTCCTTCACTCTTCCAACGTTTGCCTCCTGTCATTTGGACTTTTACTTCTCTTTTCACTCTCTTACTTCCAGGTCATGTTTATTTGTGTAGGCCTAATTTGTTCTCAGCCATTCCATTCTTAGCTGCCTTACGCACGCTCTCTTCCCTCTTTGTTTCTTTCCCACCACTGTAAGGCTCCAGTGAACATCAGCGGCATGTCTTTTCAATTTCACTCATCTCTATGCAAGGTGGTAGCAGGGGGTTTTGGCTGTAGGCTCCGGTTGGGTGAGTTAAGGGGGCTTCCTAAGGACTCTCCCAGCATTTCCCCCACTAGCTGGGTAAATAAGATCTCATTGCTGCCTACTGACTCATCTATTTTCCCAGCTCAAGCCCCCAGATGCTGCCGATTTAGTCTGGGGATTTCCAGCTTGAAACCAGCAAGGAGCATCGCAATTTCCTCAGTCCATCCTCTCCCAATCACTTGCAGTGAACCACAGAATCTGAGCCATCTGGGAGCGGGGGTCACGCATATTCACATTGACATGAAGGGCGGCAGAGGGATGGGTGGTATGGAAAGAGGGATTTCCCCCCTGCTATACGACCATGGCTATCTGCATAATACTAGGTTTTCAGTATTCATGACTTTTGGATGGATGTAATTTAGCCAAGTTTTTGTATGTTTATGAAATGGGATTATTCCACATGGGAGAGCGTTCACTGTGCTGTGAGTTTATCTGTCTCTTGGTGTCTCACAGTGCAGAGAAGGGGACACTAGCTACTCTTATGTTAGCACATTCAATAAAAGTTTCATTTTGTTTTGTCACAATCAACATAAGAGTGTACCGCTGAACAATCTGTTCATTTTCCCACTTTTTGTCTATGGCACAGTCCAGATGAGTGTTAAAGGTGAGGCAGAGGTTGCGGCTACCTTTAACCCCTTCCCCGCTGTTCTGGATTTGAGCACATCAAAGGCACAAATCCCCGGAGCGGAGCTGAGCAGAGCAGGGGCGGTATCCCACTGCATTCTGGCAACTGGATACGTCTTGTTCAAAGAGAGTAATCTTCAGGCTTAGCCATGAAAGGCCTACCCTTGTGCTGCCCCAAGTGGTATGCAAGGCCTAAACGCCCGCACTGTGATGCAATCACTGCCACATATGATTCTGTGCCCCCTCAGTCATTGCTAACGATTTTTAATATAAAGTTATAGCACTCAGGTTCTAACATTAGCTTGACTAAATGTTGGCCAAGTGGGTGCAATATACTTGTTATGTCTGGTGCTGAAACAATTAGTTGACTAATCATCTCAATCAATTTAAGTCCTTTGTTTTTCTCCATAGCATCAGTTGTTTTGTTATATCTTTGCAAAATCTTTCAAATTATAGTTTATGATGAATGGAGCACATCAGTTCCCATGATTTCAGTGCTGTAACGGGCCGTTTCAACATGGCCACGCCACGCTGTTGAGGTTGAGAGGAAACCAGACTATCTGCATGCTACCTGCTCAGTCGGGTGTGTGCATCCTCTGGGGTTTAAGTCAGCCTTAAACTTTCTACTCCTTGTCAAGTTTCTAAAGAAGACAACCATCCCACTTGCTGCTTCTTCATCATCTACTTTGTGTCTGTAAAGGCTGTGTTTTGTTGTATTTCAGTGCAGAATGTAATTGTAATGTGGCAGATGTCTTCATTTAGCAGTTACAGCTCTTTTATTTGGCTGTATTAAAACCACACAGGCACACACGAGTTCTTCTGCCTATTTCTTACCTCAGTCCAAATCTGAATTGTTAAACACAAATCACACTGTCAACATGAATGCAAAGTCAAAACAGATTTTCATTAGCATTATCTTCCACTCTGCTTTATATGTTCTGTTCTGCCAGTATCGGACAGGGTCACTTGTTTTCCTTGTGTTTCTCTGTTGCTCTTCCTCCTGCTTGTCTTTCTCTTGCTGGGAGCAGCTGGCTGGGGGCAGGCTTTGACACACAGGAACCTAAAGAAGACCACGTGACTTGTTATTTGGTCCTCGTTTGAGTTGTCCACTCCACCTCTTTGATCAGCCTGTGATCCTTTCCCCAGGTGTCCATTTAGTTGTGTTTCACCAGCTGTTTACACTCCGCAGCGTTCACAACAGAAGCTTTATGGGTCTTATTGCTTTGCTAATCCCATCCCCAAGCCTCCCTCTATGGATCATGCGCTTGACTTGGCACTAACTTACTAGATGTGGACTTCAGTCAAAGCCTATTATGATCATACCAAAGGGAGTAAGAGATGGCAGTTGAAAGAAGGAAAAGAGAACACTTATACACACTTAAATCTAAGACGTTTTTTTTATTTTTATTTTATTTTTTATCTTTATAGTCTAGCCTTTGGTCCAACAGATGTCCATTGAAGGAAAGGATGAATGGTTATGCGTAATACACCAAGAACAAGCCTCGCCACTGTAATCACCATATGTGAAATACCTGTGAGTAACTTACAAGAATCATGAATTTTACAATAAAAGTTACGTTTAAGACCCAAATAAGTAAGCAGACACAGGACAGACCCGAGACAGGGAGGTGTAGAGAACTAGAGAGGTCCAACACAATGAGCCCCCCCCCCCTTGCTGCGCCAAGAGCGTCCTGATGTTTGTGTGACTGCGGTGGTGGGACGCGCCCATAAAGAATGTGTAAGTTGATGGTGTCTGTCAGGCTCTAGCAGGCTGTTATCCAGCCATTAGATCAGATTTATCTTCATTCCCATTCGCTCGACGTCTGCCCTGAAAGCTCATTTGTCAAGGCCAGGCGACGGGGTTCTCTCGCATCTTCTCCCCCTCCACCACCACCACACGTCTGTGGGGAGGATGTACTGGAAAATACAGTGTGACATGACAAGATAGGGGGAGAGCGAGAAGGAGGGCGCAAGAAGGAGGAGTTTTGGGGGTAGAAACTGGCAGCCACTTAACTTGGCACTGAGAAATAATCCATGCATCGCCTTCGAGCAGCGCCACGCTCTCTGATTTATTGGCTGTTGTTTCAAATTTGGAGACACGCTGTGTCCTCATCTCTTCCCTTTTTTTCTTCATGCCCTTTTTTTTCTTCCCTCTCATCCTTCCTTCCTTTGTTGACCCTTAGTTCAGTCTTTCTTGGTACCATGATGCTTTTCCCGGATTGGGCAAGTGCTCGAAAACTCATGGGGGGTTGGGACTGTTACATGTGACACGCCATCTTCCAGGGACAGAGCCATAGATGTGGTCTACAGGCTTTCCATTGAATGGGAAGGCACTATATTTCCACCATAGTTTAGTGTAACAGCAGATGTAAGAGGTCTTTCAGCATGTTTAGTTGAACTTATTGTCTTGTGATTGTTAGAGAAGTGTCTAGCAAATTTGTCAAATTTGGAGTAATGTTTGTTTTGGGCATTGCTGAAATTAGGCTAAAGTTAGGGGCATGTTTCTTTATATGTGTGACTGCAGCTGTTCCTCTTTGGTAAATTGTGTGTTTTTGTGGTGAATGCAGTATATTTCAATGGGAAATAAATCCAACAGCTGAGGCCCATAAAAGTTGTTGCAGCCTGTATGCTTTTCTTACCTGTTATGTTTTTATGCTGCCAAATGGTAAACCTGGTTTACTGGCCACTGTGTCCTGAGTGGTAAAGGGAGGATGTAGCAAAGGAGGAGGGATGTAATGACTCAATCTGCAGATTGATTCGCTGGCTATGCTGATAATGTGTCGCGAGTCTCCTCTCCCATCCCTTACTGTGGTTCGCCAATGATTGAGCGCCGGCGTGTTACCTTGTTGTTTGGCGGCTAGGGCTGGAAATTGAAAACACGCTCTGTCATTTGGATTAACAACAACAGGCCAAGGGAAACCGAAAGACAGGCAGCCTCCTAATTAACGCTGCTTGACGAATCCAACAGCTCGTAAATATAGATGAATGGTAGCAGGAATTTAAAAGACTGCCAATGGGTTTATAATAAGTTTACAAGCCAGCCGAAACATTCAGAATGAAGGGCAAGCAAAGTAGGTGCAGAAACAGACGTCTGTCATCCTGACAGCCTTCCACCTACAGCCCTCCCCTACACGTGAGGTAATAAGCCTGACTTGTAAGAGGGACATCTACCTAAATTCTTTTGTTGTTCTTTCTTTCTTTCATGACATACTGCCTCTACATCTCCACACAGGATATGACTCTTATTATCCAGACTTTTTTCAGCCCAGGCTCTATTTTCTATCTTCCCGCTCCCCGTTCTGCTGTTTTCAGAGATCTGAAATGGCCTTGGAGGCTGCACACTTTATCTTCTATCCACTCAACATCATTCTCCCCACTCCTAGGCTTGCAAATTACTCCCAAATAAACAATGTCCCTAATTTATTTTACATAATCTCTGGCTCATTCTGCCCCTCTGCAGTGACAAGGGAGGAAAGGCCGTCTCAACTCCAGGCCCCCCATCCAATTACGTCAGTAATTACTTGTCGTAGCCACTTTCTTTCTATTTAGTTGGCTTATTGTGGTCCTTTGGAGAATTGTTTTGGGGAAAACATGATGTACAATATATTAGAATGGTTACTTGACGAAAGGGAGGGCAAATGAGATCTCTGAGGTGGATGCAGCCAGCTTAGTTATCACAGGGAGGTGATGCTGGTAAAAGATTGACCACTTGGTGGTACTGTTGCACCGCAGTGAGGTTGCAGCTAGACTATTGTCATACTCACCTGAAATACCAATAAGAATTGTGCTGAACTCTTCATAGACAGTTATTCGAGTCTTCTGTTTTTGCTTGCATGTACAGAGAATGAGGTTTATCTGTTCTTTGTGTAATATAAAGAAACATAACTACTATTAGCCTGCAGAAAAAGCGATACAGTTGGGTCAAAACAAAGCTGAGTAATATATCAAATAATATCAATAATCACTTGATTTTTTTAGAGCTACAGAGCCAGATCTGTGCCTGTACAGATTCAGAAGTTATTTCTCTTTAGCTCAGTCTGTGATTTCACATGACTTCCAGCTCTGAAGACTTATCCTTTCTCCTTTAGTGCTCCACATATATTCATATTCTTGATCATAAGGTGTCCTTCGTGCCTGGCAAAAGAGAAAACAGCGAGTGGTGGCTGACAGAAGTGAGCCCTTGTACAGCTGTCGGGGCTAGCCTTCTCCCCCTCACAGAGTATGGCGAAAGAGACTTATCCCCCATCTCCTCTAAAACCTTATGATGGGGCCCAAATGCTAAATCATTGTGGATAGCTGAATGTGGAAGGAGCAAAACAGGAAATGGGTGCATTTTATCTTTATTACAGTGCCTCCATCACTCTTTCTCTTTCCTCCTGTCCCAGCATCACGGTGCTGTTAGCGAGGGTGGCACCGGCAGACTGGCATCTGTATGACCAAGGGGGAGTCAAGGAAGGGGGAGTCACAGCGGGTGGGGGGGGGACTCACCAATCGTTCTGTAAGATTGCTCGCCATCAGCCAGTATTTCCGCTCCGATGCAGGATAAATGGGAAATCAAGTCGCCAGGTGGGCAGCTGTGCCTGCCTGCCTTTAGGGCGATGGGAGTTATGAAGCATAAATATTCATGTCTATCTTCTAGCTGTTGGCAGTCCATATTTTTGTTGACATATGGTAGATGGGTTGGGACTTGTAGTGTGGAGTGCAGCTGCTGAGCTGTGCGTGTGTGTCTGGATCTATCAGTGTGTTGGATGGAACGCATGTTCTTTGGACACAGATACACAGTCAGCCTGATGACCTTTAACCTGTTGCTGAGGTGTCATGTCTGCTGTGTGTACCAGTTTGTCAATTGGCTCAATTGGACGTTAAATAAAGCACTTGTTAGCCGGCCAGCTCAATGAAATTGCTCTCCTCAGGCCATGCCACATCATGGCCACCTGCCAAATGGCAAGAACATACACAGGCTAGTATTATGTTACAGCTTAATGGCACCTGGGCGAGTGTGTGGGAGGGAGTGTTGACGGAGTCTCCGCTGACACACCCGCCTGCAATTAAGCCCAATATGGATATCGAAAGCCCTTCAGGCAACCTCACTGGGCAGGATCTGGCCACTCTGATTACCCCATGCTCTTTCCACCCTTTAGGTGGCTTGTCTGATCCGGGTGCCCACAGAGGTGGTCAAGCAGAGGACTCAGGCTTCTCCCTCATCCACTACCTACCACATGCTGGTGTCTACACTCAGAGAAGAGGTACACACCAATCAAGGACAATTTCTTAACGCATAACTCTGGTTTATTACAACTTTGATCTGCAGATGTTTTGTGGTTTTGGCCATCATTCCTATCACAGAGCCCCCTATGCTTGCCAAGTTAATAGCTGAGATATGGGAGCATAGTGACCTCGCCAAAAAAGTCAGCTGGGACAAGAAATGCAAACTCAGACAATCAGACTTTAAACAGACTTTTAATCAGATTTTAAACACACAACATAAACCCAGACACAAAATGCTAAAGGCTGGAGTATGCTTGAAAAGAACTAGCTATATGACATGCAACACTGTCTAAAAGTAAAAGTGTTCATAGTTGTTCTGAAAGGCCACACTAGAAGGAAAAGCCGGCCGTCATAAAGAGATATGATATGGTTTAAATATGGGGATAACTGGTATTTATGCAATTTGCACATAGAAAGTGACGGGGTAGTTCTGTACACCGTTAGATTGTACGACAAGTGCTTTGGTTGGAGAACACCAATAACTTCACCCTAACCCAATCACAGTGCGTACTTTGGTGAGTAAGATGTCATCGTAAGCAGTAGAAATGAAGGCCAAATATTCTAAGTTGGAATGAGGTGGAATTATTCTTTTTTTTTTAATGTGATGATTTCACAGATTCATTTAAAAAACTTTTCATACAGTTGTTGTTGTGAAGTATTGAACTTGGTTACTTGTAAAATATTTGCTTTGTAATACTGTCTTGTGCTACTGAGTGAATATTCATGATTTATTAAAGGAAAACAATTCTCTATTTATTGAATATAATTCAAATCAAGTCTGTGATTGTGTTTTGCTGTTGTCTCTGTGCAGGGTGTCCGAGGCTTGTACAGAGGATACGGGAGTACCGTTCTCAGAGAGGTAGGATTCATTCAGATGGGGGTTTTTTTCTCAGTTGGTCTATACCTAACCCAAAGCACTTTTTATGTCTGTCTTTGGTAAAGTTTAGTTTCAGGCAATTGCAAAGCACATCTTACAGATTCTATTGAAATCAATTTCAAGAGTTCGTACAACTACTTGACTCCTTGAAGGCCGAGTAGTGAATTCTTTTTGATGGGCTGGATGAATATTGAGGCTTTCCACTTTTCTGATTGAAGACATTTTAATTTCTCTTGGGCTTTATTGAGGTTGGAAATATTGATTTACAGTTTTTTTTTCCCTCACTTTCATCTCGTTCAATTACTTGTGTAAGATGCTCTCCCTCTTATTAAAAGTGCATCTGATTAATTAATGCAATTAGTTGCATTATGAATGCAAAACAAAACGAGGATAAATGAGCATAGGGTTACACTCCCTTGATGGCCGCTCACCTTTCTGTAATGAAAAAGCCGCTCTTATTCTTTGATTCATGATCTTCTGTTTAATTGCACCTGCAGTGCATGATAACACAAAATAATTGTGGCAAAAGCCCCCCCCCCCCTTCCACCGCCGGATAACTTTCTTCAGAACTGGAAAAGAAAATGAGAAAGGGAGGCAAAGAGGGAGAAAGAAGTATATGAAGGTGACACTTGTCTTTCCATCCTTTTTTTGGGGAGGTGGGTGAGGGCGTAATCTAGTCCCCTCCGCTGTGCTAGCCTGTACTTATTTTCTGCCTCACTAAACTGATGTTATTCACGCAAATTCCATCTGGACAGCCGGGGAAAAAAAGGACAACAAGACACTGTGATTTCTCCGAGGGGCTCTGAATAAATGAATACATTTGGAGGCTGGCGCACGGCCTGTGTGCATACTAACACTGGCAGATGAAACGCAACGGTGGCGGCAGGGATTTGGGGTGCGGGAGCGGCAAGGGATGCTCCGCTGTGATTGGCTTTGACGTGTGTCAGGAAGGTAATTCATTTTCTCTCGGCCTCTTTCGCTATCCGCACATCTCCCTCTTTCGACCAAGCGACCCTGTCAAGATAAGTTTGTTTATGTGGTATGGCGTGGCGCCTCCTCCCCCTCGCTGGCCCACTAATTGGGGTCCTCTCCGTGCTATATATTCATTAGGGTTCAAAAGGCATTTCTGATGGGCATGATATCACATTAGCGCAGGATGTGTGAGGATCGACCACGGCCTGGAGGCCAGCCTGGACTTGCAAGGTGGAGTGGAGGTGTGACTTATTTGTTGATCCGGTTCGCATTGTAGCACCAACCCACAGGCAGATCATCATACCTACCAGAACACATTTTAAAGAGTAATGGGGGATTTTACACAGCACACTCCAACAATGCCCTACATTTCAATTTAAAAAACATACCTGGACTGTTCACTAATAAGCAATAAATAGTTTTTGGTTTTGTTTTCTACCCTCTCTTTAAGAGAAAACGTCAAGTTCTCTGCTAAGTCGGCTTTTTTGTATTCCAGCTGAATAGAGCATGAAATCAATGAGATTCAGATTTTGGTCAGTAAAACTGTGCTGTGAAAAATTACTCTGAAAAAACGAAGAAGTATTAATTAACATCACCGAGACTTTCAAGTGAGAGCACAGTCTTGTTTTAAGTCCAAGATTTAAGCTGTTCATGTTGTCTGTTGTCGGTGTTCATTTGTATTAATTTTATGAAAATACAATTCACCCAGACTCTTCCTACATTTTATCATCTGGCAATGCATAATTTTTTTCAGGATTATTTCAACAGGACACCCCAAACTGCTCCTTGTGGATGAAACCACCTTTCACCACTAGATGGCATGCTAAGATTAGCACTGCCTTAACAGTTTGTGCCTGAATTTATCTCATTTTACTCCTTTCCCCACCTGTGTACATTTTCACCCTCTCTTTTCCTCTCTCTCTGCTCCCCCATTACACCAGTCCAGCTTTATGACATTTATGAGCCACAGTCACTGCAGTGAAAATGATGGCTTTTTTAATGGTGAGCCCTCTCTGATCTAAAGCGCTGTGAGGCGATCTTGGGTTTGGTTTAAAACTGCTCCATTTTGATTTTGAGTAATGAGCCTGAGATGGTTTATTAGATAGTAATTTAGTAATGCGATGGGATGTGGGCTGTGGAGGGATATGTGCAAGTGAAGCTGACCATGTCTGACACAGTCAACTGAAGAACCTAGAACATCATTTGATTGACTATCGCATACAGCCACACTACATATATCTCTCATACTTGTGCTCTTTCGCCTACTCAGTCTGAAAGGCACTGTATCTAAATCTGTTCTTGCACATTTTTAATTGAGTAAGCACACAGAAAAGGATGGTACCTGAGCTAGTTTAGTGACTGAACGGTCTACTGATGAAAAATGTGTTCCTGGTCTTCCCTTTACCAGTAATACATCTATTTTTCTTTAGCCAGACTCTGAATCAGCCTTAAAGTTTCTCCACCTCAACAGCTGGGACCTGGCAACCTGAGGTACAGGATCTGGCTATACGGCTTATGAAACACCTCTCCATCCAGGCTCCTCCACGCCTCACCACTGCTTCCTCTTTATCCCTCTCCTCTTCAATCCCTGGTTGATCCCTCCGCTGCTTCCTCCATCAGGGGGTTTGGCTGTAAGGAAAGACTTGCTGACTCTGGTTTTAACTGGTACCAACGTGCCAAATGTCATCACTCCAGCTTTGGGATTTCTGCAGTTAAGTTCTGTTTTAGAACAGATTTGAAAGTTTTTAAGGAACAGCTTCAAAGCATATTTAGGGGCGAGTTTGAGCTACAGATGAGTGACAAACCAATGCAGAGTGTTTTAGTAAGGGGCTGGGCCACCACAAGCCTCCACACCAGCTTTAGGGCTCCTTGTAGGTTCTTAGTCTCTGGGGACTCTACTCGAGGGATGAACACCATTCTTCCAAAAGATCCAAGAGTCCAAAACCCAAAGATGTTGCGTTTACCCCTTATTATTTTCATGATATTTTGATGATCTATCTTCTCGATAAATTGTTGAGACTGCAGTAAATAGTTAAAAATGGCCACGACAATCAAGTATAACCAAAGGTTATGTCTATAAATTGCTTGTTTTGTCTGATTAACAGCCCAAAACCCAAATATATTCAGTTTTGCTGAATATGCGTCCCTCTGCAGTGGCAGCTGAGTTGTTGTGGTGTGTCTACGGAGGTGTGATTGTCCATAGAGAGCAGTGAGAGGGTCCAGCTTCCACTGCCGGGATGCTGAGGTTGAAACCGTATCAACAGCTGAACCCTGCGTGGCCCTTTTTTTTTGGAAAGGAGCCACTTTTCACTGTCTGTGACGCAGGTTCAAAAGGGAGAGGTGAGGGGAATCACTCTCATATCCTGTCTCTGTGCGCACTGATCCACAGAGGCTCATGTTTATACACCCTCATATGAGTAAGACAGAGCAGTGGAGAGACAGAGCAGAAAGAGGGAAGAGAGACAGGGCAGGGGAAGCAAAATGTGTTTATTTTCCTCCACATATGTAAAGGCAGGATTTGTGGGACACTTGTGAAGGAGCGGAGGCTTCCTCCTGCTTTGTGTTTAGAGTAAGACCTCGTCAGAGCGGCTGCCATTAATCTCTCAGAGCCCAACAGCAAACCAACTCTTCTAAATGGCTTTAACACCTTTAAATGCTTAACAAGATTGGATTAAATGAAATGGAAAATGTGACAAGATAGCCCTGGAAAAACAGAGAAATTAAACCCAGGGTAATATTAAACTGTCAGCTGAAAGTGAAATATAATGCCTACCACCAAGAGGCCTGTGTTAATTATATTGTACATTTCTTGTTTTATTTTGAATGTTTGCAATATTATTATTATTATTTTTAGCTGTTACACGGTTATAGAATAATATTTTTATCAGCCTTTGCAAACCAGTGGAAAAATAGTCAGTGAAATGCAGTTTGGCTCTATCGGTTTCAAAGATGGAGGTGAGTGTTTTAAAGAATGTGAGCTACTGGTGCTACATTATCTGTTTACACTGTGATCAATGAGTAGACTAAGAGTCCTGAGAGAAACCTGTTGACCTCTTTAGAATGACCCTTGACATGACTTGACCAATAGAAATGTTTGTGTGTGTTTGACTGTTTCTGTGATATGGTGAAACAATTCATAATTACGTGACATGCGCGGTGACCTGGAGGGCAAAACAACAGACCAACATAGCAGTGTTACAATGCCAGTCAATGCAGCTCAGAGACTAATACTGGCTGAAATAAAGACATGGTCTGACATACTGTAAAGTGGATGTCAAAAAAGACGGGAAAATAGTTTTTCTGATACAGAAATCAAGGTGTGATGTGGAAGTTAGAAAGTAGCCTAGATATTGTTTGATGCAGCTTGTTCACAAACAAAAGAAAATTCGGAGAGATTTATAGAATTATATTATTCTAAACAAAGACTGTAGGTAGAAAGGTAAACACTATATAGGCTAGGCTATTGTTGAACCCATCAGACGCACACCTGACGACTACTGAGCTCTCTTCTGCAATTCTTTAATGCAATTTGTTATCTCTGATTTTTAGATGATGATAATTCCATCAGTTAGCCGTAGGGCTGGACGGTATATCGGTATATGAGGTATACTGATATACTTTAAAAAGTGATATGAAATTAGACAATACCATTTATAACGATATAGTTTGATGTTGAGTTAGGCCTAATTAATGTTTCCGTAAAGTCCTGCCAGCGTTAGGTCATCTTAGCTGAAAGTCCCGATCGATATTTTATACCGGAATTCTGCCTAACAGTACTGGGATATGACTTTTTGGCCATACCGCACAACCCTAGTTTGCATGGTCAGTAGCTAAATACACATCTAATATCGGGGAAACGCGATCACAGGTTCACAGCTGACCATGAGTGTCCGTGACCACACTCAGTCCCTCTCCACATGCGCTCCGGGGGGCTGATGAAATATTTAGCGGACATTTATTTAAGATTTGGTACTAATTTGGCTTATTTTATTTCTTTTACAATTGAAAGT